TTTGTTCTATATATACAGGTGCATTTCAAAAAAATTTGAATATTGTGAAAAATATATTTTTTTTTACTCATTTCAAAAAGTGAAACTTTTATATATTCTAGATTCATTACATGTAAAGTAAAACATTTCAAACATTTTTTTTTGTTTTAATTTTGATGATTAGAGCTTACAGCTCATGAAAGTCAAAAAGCCAGTATCTCAAAATACTAGAATATTGTATATATTGTAGTATTTCTATAGAATCATTGGTACAACCCTCCCTTCTCTCCAAGAACTGTACTCGTCCAGAGTGAGCAAAAGGGCTGGCAGAATCACTCTGGACCCCTCACATCCAGCACACTCCCTCTTTGAACTGTTGCCATCTGGTCGACGCTACAGAGCTCTGAGCACCAGAACGACCAGACACGGGAACAGTTTCTTCCCTCAGGCCATCCATCTCATGAACACTTGACAATAACTGTGGAACAGACACTATTTATTCACTCATACACTTATTTATCTAACACACACACTCAGTCTACATTTCAATTTGCACATAATATACCTGTACATACAACTGTCTATTGTTATATACCTGTACATACAATTGTCGATTTGTATATTTTTATTCCTTAGTTACTTGTTCTATTTTTCTATTTTTTATTATCTGTGTTTTTGTTCTGTCACTGTCATTCTGTTACACTGTGGAGCTTCTGTCATGAAAACAAATTCCTCGTATGTGTAAACATACCTGGCAATAAAAACTCATTCTGATTCATTCTGAATACTAGCATGGAAGCGAGCAGCCTGTGGCACTGCTGAGGCTCTATTGAAGCACAAGTTTCTTTAATAGCGGCCTTCAGCTCATCTGTATTGTTGGATCGACTGTTTCTCATCTTTCTCTTGAAAATATCCCATAGATTCCATATGGGGTTCAGGTCAGGCGTGTTGGCTGGCCAATCAAGCACAGTAATATCATGGTCAGCAGGCACTGTGGGCAGGTGCTAAAGTCCTGCTGGAAAAGGAAATCAGAATCTCCATAAAGCTTGTCAGCAGATGGAAGCATAAAGTGCTCCAAAATCTCCTGGTAGACAGCTGCATTGACTTTGGACTTGATAAAACACAATGGACCAACACCAACAGACATCACAGCACCCCAAATCATCACTGGCTTCGGAAACTTCACACTGGACTTCAAACAGCTTGGATTCGCACAGAATCCAAGCTGTTTGAAGTCCAGTGTGAAGTGTCCGAAAGACTCTCCAGTCTTCCTCCAGATTCCAGACCTTGATTTCCAAATGAAATGCAAAATTTACTTTTATCTGAAAAGAGGACTTTGGAGCACTGAGCAACAGTCCAGTTCTTTTTCTCCTTAGCCCAGGTAAGATGCTTCTGACATTGTTTCTGTTTCAGAAGTGGCTTGG